CCCTTCACCTCCAAACCCGCTCCCTAACATCATCCTGCGGGGAAACTGAGGCACGGCCTCCCTCCGCCCCACATTCCGCACCCACGGGGGTGGCCGGGGGCTGGCGGCCCCTTCCCCACCTATCCCGACGTGACGGTGGTGCCGCTGCCCAGCTTGATGATCATCTGCTGGCAGTCGTGCAGCGTCTGGCGGTCACCCAGCTTGTCCAGCGTGCGGGCAGCCTCGGCCAGCATCCCCACGCGCTGGCCCGGGCCCGCCAGGAAGCTGGGAGGGAGGTAGCAGCAGGCCAGCAGCAGCGCCTCGGCGTGTTCCCGTGGCGTGGGGTGGCTTTCCGGCTCGCCAGCTACGGGGGACAGAGCCGAGGTCAGCACCGAGGGTGCCCATGGAGGTCGCTGAATAAATCTTGGGGGGTTCGGCACGGGGATGGGGTTATTTGCCCACCCTGGAGCTGGTGACACCATCAGTGGAGGGGCTGGGAGCTCACGTGTCCCAGCTCCTGGGGTGCTGCAGGTGGGGTGTCCCACCCGATGACCCAGAATCTCTGGTGTCAGAGTGCTGCAGGTGGGAAAGGGGTGTTCCACCCTATGTCTCACCCCGTATCCCACCATCCAAGGTTGGTGGGGTGCTGTGGGTGCAGAATGGGGTTTCCCACTCTGTGTCCCACCGCCCAAGCCTTGTGGGAGCTGCTGTAGGTGTGGACCAAGGTGCCCCACCCCATTTCCCATCCTCCAAGGTGGTGACAAAGGTGTCCCGCCCCATGTGCCACCACCCAACAGGCTGGGATGCTGTCGGTGCAGAGCAGTGTGTCCCACCCCTGTTCCACCACAAATCCAAGGCTGCTGGGGTGCTGCAGGTGAGGACTGAGGTGTCCCACCCCATCTCCCAACCCGTGCCCACCTGTTTTGCTGCCCTGCACCCCTCTCCTCCGCAGGCTGCGGTCCAGCAGCTGGTGGGTGCGCGTGGGGCTGGCCCGGGCCATCAGCCTGGCAGTGGCTTCGTGCAGGAACACCTGGATTGGGGGGAGCGGTGAGCACAGCCAGCTGCAGGGCACCAGGGGACCCAGCAGGTGACGGGCCGGGGGCTCACCCGGCGCATGGCGGGGCGCAGGGTCTGTGCCAGGCGCCGCAGGCTGCTGAGGTCCTGCTGGAAGCCGCGGAGCTCCAGGGCGGATGCCTGGTAGAGGCAGCTGCGCTGCTGGCTGGCCCCCATCTGCTGCTGCCACAGGTTGGTGCGGGTGACCAGGAGCAGGTCACAGAGCAGGAGCTGGACCGCCTGCAGGGACAAGGGCATCGGGGTGAGCAGGGGGTCGCACAGACGGACGGGGGTGCCGAGGGGGGCGCTGCGGGCAGGCGCTGCTGCGCGGG